CTCCTGAGGCGCAAGGGAGAGATAAGAGGATGAGACTGGCACCTCCCTGAGGAATTCACAACGTTGTGGCTGGCATTACTTGGGAACTGGGGTTTCAGTCTGGGAAGATTCTTGTTAGAGGTTGTAGCTAATCAACATAGCTGGACTGAATTTACATGGTCTCTTGGAGTTCCTTGGGCTAGGCCCGACATCAATCTTCCCAGACTGAAACCTCAGTTCCCAAGTAATGCCAGCCACAACATTGTGAATTCCTCAGGGAGGTGCCAGCTTCATCCTCTTATCTCTCCCGCACGCCTCAGGAGCTGAAAGAAAATGTTTTTCTCCCTGAGTCTGCCCTTCATAATTCCATTCCATCACAAATAACCTCATTTGTGCCAGATTCTTTTTCTCAGGCATGCACACCACTCACATTTAGGAACAGTGTGATGATGACGATTCCAGATGTGAATAGCATTGTTTGGGTCCATCCACAAGATGCAGACATAGGAAAGCTTCAGGGAACCTAAATTCGGTTTGGGTCTCCGTTTTCGATCTGGACTTTGCCACCTGCATCTGGACATGATTCAAAATATTGGTTCTGAATATTAAAACTGTCATGATCTGTGCTTTGAAAGATGATCTCCATATTTGTGACTCTATCCTTACATTCTGTTCATTGGAGAAGCTTCCCTTTTTTTGCCCATTTGACTTCAGGGGGACTGCCAGGCAAACTTTTTGGGGTGCTCCTTCTGTTGGGGATCCCCATCCTAGAGAGGCTTACTGTTGCCACCATATTGTCTCTGTGACACCAAGCAAACAATTTTTAAAAATTTTTCTAGCTGCACATGAGATCCTTTAATCATGGTTTTCTAAGCTTGTGGGTTTTAAAAACTTTTGTTTGTAGAGCAACGAGAAGATTTCCTCAGATTCAAATGCATGAATAGGGGAAAAGCCGTGAAGTGAAAAAGCTGAAATCTATACATGAGAAAATGTGGCCCGTTGTGTTACATGACCATGCCAGATTACTGAGGATTAATGTTTTGTCGAATTATATCCTCCAAATCCAGAAACTTTTCAATCTATGAAGAACTTTGAATATATACAGCTTGGACTGTTGCAAAGAAGATGTGTTCACAGATTGTGTCCCTGACACAAATGTTGACTTAACAACATTTGGCAACTCAGCTTTTAAATCAGCTGGGCATTAGAAGAGAGGCAATGTGATTCTGTTCCATTCATTGTCCAAAAATGGAATCGTAACACTGGGAAAAATGAGGAAACATACAATATTAATAGTCTAACATACATGTGTGTGTGTGTTTGCATCTCTAGGTGTGTGTTGTGTATATGCACGTGTGTACACACTCTTACAGTTTTTTAGTTTTAATTGCTTATTCCTCCCACTACATTTCCTAGTTTCCTCCTTTTTTCCCTCCTCTGTGTAGTCAAGGATAGGATTTTTTACCTTGTCACTATAGAGCTTTTTCTTATATAATAGTTTAAGTTCCCTTTTTTTTAATACTGTATAATTTTTCCATGTAACAGTAACATAGTTCTATAGCTATGTTTCAATTGCATAGAATAGTGCAGATGACTAAGCTTTTTAAAATCATTTGTAGTATTTTCAAGTTTAATAACATTCTTTGTATTGTTTATTGTGGTGTGTTTTTCCCTTTTTTGAGTTAGGGTTTGTTTTATGCTGTACGCTACTCAGAGTCATATTGTTTGAGTTGGGCTTTGTAAAT